CTAAATTTAAATGCTCAGTGCTTGATGTTGTACTCAAAACACAAAAACAAGTTTCTGGATTATCCAAAATTTTGTTTACCTGAATGACTCCCAGTGCCATCAAGTTTGGTTAATTGAGTTTCCATTGTATATGCCATGTAACCCACATCTTGATTCCACAAGGACAGTGTTTATTTATAACTGTAAATATATCAACCAGTTGGTGTAAATTGTAACACGTTAAAATTATTTCCAAAATTATGTTTTCATTTTTGAAAAATTGCTGGTGAATCTTTTTTCTTATACAACTGTCATTAGCCAAATGATGCCTGTTTGAGCCATACTTATTTGACATAAGAAACTGCATTTTAATGCAATTTCTTATGATAGTTATCACATATTATTACTATGATATTTAATAACCACTATGGTAGTTGACTGGCCCACCAGTGGCTGAGTGGATAAATCTACTTAACACTGGTAGCTGATCCTCAGTTTGCATGTTTTGGATTTTCTTCCCATATTTAACAACTAAATGGGGCTAGTTTCCTATACAAAGTCATCTTGGAAAGCATCCCTGGTAGATTGCCCTTATGTTGTATTGCCTTATTCCATCAAAAAAAGGCTGCTGACTAAATATCACTCCCATAAATATAATTGTGGACTGGAGTTTTTCAGGGCCTGGACAAAAATAATTTGAGGGCCCCACGGGGAAAAATAAACAGCTTATTCAAAATTAATTATGTTTAATTCACATTTAAACTTGTAAAAAATATGACAGAAATGCTGTTTCAGAAATTGCTCCTGAAAGAAAAGTATTAAATTAATTAATTAAATTAATATTATAATTGGGCTGCAATTTGAAAAAATTGTAGACCTATAAATTCCCAGTTGTCCATCTGTCTTTCCTTAATTGCAAACAGAGTTAAATAGATGAAAGATGATGCCAGACGTTTAACTATATAAAAACTTCCAATTACAACAATTAATTATATAAGAACTTCCAATGCAAACCGGAAGTCACATTATTTCAATTAAAAAATTTTCCCCTGAAAAGGCATGGCTATATATAGATGATCGGCATGACTCTATTGCTCTTCCATGACTCTATAGAGCCATGCTTGCCTCTTCCATGACTCTATAGAGTCATGGAAGAGGCAAGCATGGCTCTATAGAGTCATGGAAGAGCAATAGAGTCATGCCGATCATCTATATATAGCCATGCCTTTTCAGGGGAAAATTTTTTAATTGAAATAATGTGACTTCCGGTTTGCATTGGAAGTTCTTATATAATTAATTGTTGTAATTGGAAGTTTTTATATAGTTAAACGTCTGGCATCATCTTTCATCTATTTAACTCTGTTTGCAATTAAGGAAAGACAGATGGACAACTGGGAATTTATAGGTCTACAATTTTTTCAAATTGCAGCCCAATTATAATATTAATTTAATTAATTAATTTAATACTTTTCTTTCAGGAGCAATTTCTGAAACAGCATTTCTGTCATATTTTTTACAAGTTTAAATGTGAATTAAACATAATTAATTTTGAATAAGCTGTTTATTTTTCCCCGTGGGGCCCTCAAATTATTTTTGTCCAGGCCCTGAAAAACTCCAGTCCACAATTATATTTATGGGAGTGATATTTAGTCAGCAGCCTTTTTTTGATGGAATAAGGCAATACAACATAAGGGCAATCTACCAGGGATGCTTTCCAAGATGACTTTGTATAGGAAACTAGCCCCATTTAGTTGTTAAATATGGGAAGAAAATCCAAAACATGCAAACTGAGGATCAGCTACCAGTGTTAAGTAGATTTATCCACTCAGCCACTGGTGGGCCAACTACCATAGTGGTTATTAAATATCATAGTAATAATATGTGATAACTATCATAAGAAATTGCATTAAAATGCAGTTTCTTATGTCAAATAAGTATGGCTCAAACAGGCATCATTTGGCTAATGACAGTTGTATAAGAAAAAAGATTCACCAGCAATTTTTCAAAAATGAAAACATAATTTTGGAAATAATTTTAACGTGTTACAATTTACACCAACTGGTTGATATATTTACAGTTATAAATAAACACTGTCCTTGTGGAATCAAGATGTGGGTTACATGGCATATACAATGGAAACTCAATTAACCAAACTTGATGGCACTGGGAGTCATTCAGGTAAACAAAATTTTGGATAATCCAGAAACTTGTTTTTGTGTTTTGAGTACAACATCAAGCACTGAGCATTTAAATTTAGTTTCATAAACAATAAGTAATATAATATAATTACTGTATTTAAAGATAAATTAATTTATTAAAAATATAACAATTTTATTTGAATGACTTAGTTTTATAGTGCTAAAATCAACAGATGACAGTAATTTCCAGTTATATGGGNCAAAAAGTACATTTGGACAGACATTGTCCATTTTATTTAGACAAGTGATTTTTAAATGTTCTATTATTCCAACGTTATAAAAAGATTTTAATTTTTCATTCAAAAATCTCTATATTGTAAAAATAATTGAAGTGTTTTTGTAACTTTTATTAAATTAGTATTGTCATTTCTTAAGCAACCCTACAATTCCTAATCTATTAATAATAATAACAGTTTAGGAATTGTAGGAATCAATCTTCATTCATGCATTAACATATAAATTATTGCCATTGTCCCCATTGATGTATGCTTCTTTTCTAATCCAAGAAATATTATCATGACACATAATCTGCATTTTGATTTCAAATTCACAAGAAGTGTCTTATTTTCAAAAATAATCAGTTTGAAATAATACTTTCAGCTCATAATTTATTTGATCATTCATTTGTTTATAATAAAACATTTACCTTTACTTTAATATTATTTTTTTACTTTACACTTTGGTAATTCATTTAACTCTTTATAGAATTTAGATACTATATATAATGCATTTTTTAAACCCATTTACAGATTGTTTCTTTAAAATATTTTAAGTGATAAAAGTATGGATGATTCTATGTTAATTTTTTCATGACCAATAAAGCTCTTCAAAGAATGATAGAAGTTTCTATTTTCATGAATTTATCTTTATAAATTCCAAAATATTTATATATGTACTTAATAATAATATGGTTTTAATAATATAATATTGGCCTTTAGTAAACATAAACACACACCTACCTACAATGTAAATAAAAGCTCTATCCAAATTCCTATGGGTCTTTATAAATAAACATTTTTTTTTTTCAGTTTATCAGAGCAAGCTAAAATCATCATACAAAAACATATAATTTACTCACATCAGGTTATAAGTTTTTTTTTAAATTGATGTTATTACATTGCTTCTATCTGTACCAACTTTAAGTTTCTTTATGTTAGTTAAAATGTCACTAATTAATAGAGGCTATCCTATCCAACAAGTTTGTCTAATTAGGAACCTGTTAGAACTTGCTATATGCAATCATTATTTTGTTTAAAAAAATATATTTACAACAAGGGTTTCTTGACTAGAGGTACCATCCTCATCTGTATTAGCTGAAATTCTTATGAGAAGTTTAGAACACAATTTTTATAACCCTATATACTATGTTATCCATTATTATAGTGGAGCTATGATGATGATGATGATGATGATCTCAATGCATGGGAAGATTCAGACAGTAATTTCTCATCATTTGTCAATACATTAAACATCATCTATTCCACTATAAAGTTAACAGTCAAACACGAAACCAAACATTCTTGGATCTAAACATTATATGAATATAAAATAATTTAGAGTTTGGAATTTTTCATAAGTTTGGCTCTCTACCATACATCATTTCTAGCAACTCATACCATCCCGTTATATATAAAAATATAGTAATTACCAACCTAATTAGAAAGGTACATATTCTTATTTCAACTCCCATACAAATAAATTATTTGTCATAAAAGTTTTTACAAAATAGGATACCCTTTTAGTAAGTTCCTTTATTTATATAACTAAGACATCACTACATCCAGTTTTTATTCATGCATTTAAACCACAAAGAATTTTTTTTAATGTGATCTCTTTCGTTGTTATGCTGTTTTTAAAAATAGCATCGCTGTTTAAAAAAAATACAATTACATTTTGCCTGTTACACATGCATTCCATTAAGAAGATTACTTGTTCAAGACAATGACTAAAACATTGTTAGAACAATTAGGTATAAGGTACATACAATTTTATTTGCTCAATCCTCAGATAAAATTATCATAGAATGCGTTGGTGCCACAACAAGAAATGTAACACTTTTCATAACACATCGATGATATTTCATAAAATCAAACCAAAAAAAAATAAGATGTAGAATCAACAAAAATGGTTTTATATGGAATTAAAATACAGATTAGCTTAAAACAATTTTTATATGGGAAACCTTGTTAATATTGACACACTTTCAGAACTGAGTTTTACTTACAAAAATTACTTGAAAATTAATATAATATATATTCAGCTTATTTCCTTGTTTATTGTTTTATAATATTTTTTAATAAGTTACAAAACATTTTATTTCTAAATTATCATCATTCGCATATTTTTATGTTTAAAAGATACAAAAAAAAATGTGAGCGATAACTGCATAAGTTGAATTCGCGTAAGTTGGGGTATAATTTCGCAATTTGTGTAAAACCCAAGTCGGATGTATGTAAGCTAATAAATGTTCTCGTTAATCTTATCTTGTCTTTTGATTCGTTCATTGTTACAAGAAATCACCACATAGAGTCTCTCAAGTCTCCCTAGATATAACAAACACAGAAATAAATAACACAAGATAAATTGTTGATATGTGTCGATTCCGCGCAACACGTCCGAACATGTAATCCGAACAATAGTGTGGGGGGATTGAGTAATCGAGAGTTGCTTGGCACTCAAACAAAAGATGAATCGACAAGATTTGAAAATCACGTAACTCCGGGTTTGCATAAGTCGAGGTATTACTGTATTTGAACTATAGTTCTTGTACATGCATTTCATTCTATTTGTAAACTGTTTGTCCTGAGAATACATTTGGAGCTTATGTTGGTAAGTCAAATGTTAGAATTATATATATAAAATTGTATATTTACTTATCTGAGTTTTTAACATCTAGAAGTTGAGTACAATTATAACAATAGAGAATTATAAAAATAATTTAGAGAAATTGATTGATTAGAATGTAATTGTTATTTTATTACATAATTAACTTATTTTTTTTAGAATGCCATAAAAGCTAAATTAAATGAACTTGGAGCTTATGTTGGTAAGTATCACTCCTTTTTATTTAATTTATTTGAATTAAATATATTTTCAAATTTTAAGAATAATTCTGCATAATTTCAGTTCTTGTAATTGGAATTACAAACTAAGCATCAATTTCAAATTGAAATGTTTATAATTTATTAATAAATGCCAGTAGTTTGAATTTATTGAAGTTTATTATTATATACATTGAGATCATTTGTGTAGTTAATTTAAAGAATTGATATTTTAATTAAAAGCAATGCTATATATGCTAATATGACTACAATGCTCTCTCCAATAACTATTCCCATTGAAAACTGACAAACGCAAACACCTTACATCTGAACTGTGATTTGACTACACTCCAGTGAACAAAGAATAATACCTAACACACTCTAGATATATTAATATCTATATAATAAAGCTACATTGGTCTCACTGACCCACTCATTGACATGAAATGTTTGAGTAGAAGCTGACTTATTACAGAAAAATTAAATAGTGCATTTGAAAAGGAGTTGTAAGTATTTTACCAGAAAAATCTGACATCTCAGTACCAAATCTTTTTGGTCCTAGGAGACATCAAAGTTTGATCCTCAGTGCTCCATGAATTATTGCAACATCCATTGGATTATTACTTTTCATTATTTTAAATAATTGTATTTTCATTTTGTCTTACCGTTATTCTTTCTTAGATTTTTAAAATATTTTCAGTTAACTAACATTTACAGTACATATAAGTAATTTTGTTTAAAAAATTACTAGAAATTGCAACAATCATGTTATGAGAGCATCATGGTTGGACTACTCAGAGTGGAAGCATTCAGTAATATAATACAGTATAGTAATTTAGGAATATTTATTTAAAACAAGTCTTATGACTTAATAATTAAACAATGCTGATTAATTTTCAGTTTGAAGTATTGTTGAATATCAAGTTTTTTTTAAAATACAAAGTATATTAGAAGAATTGTGATTTTTAAAATTGATACTTGAAGATAATAAAATACCCATTTCATTCATTTAAAAATTAAATGAAAAGACTTCTAATGTAATAAAACATAAAGCTGTATTCTACATAAACAACTAACATAATCTATTAAACAACTGTTTTTCAATAGAATCAGTTTCTATAACTAAATATTAAAAAATATATTGCATCAAAAATCAAAAACTTATGAATAGATGTGATTAACTTTTAATTAATTTTTTGTCTGTGTTTTCAGATGATGAATTACCTGATTACATTATGGTTATGGTTGCAAATAAGAAAACCAAGGCTCAGATGATTGAAGATTTAAGCTTATTTCTTGGAAATAGTACAGAAATATTTACAACATGGTATTATATTGTATTTTTTGAATGATTTCTTAGTTCATTTTAATGGCTTTCTTAGATTGCTCAGGATTAAAAATTTAACTTTTTATAAAAACAAAAATTGGTTATTTGAACTGATGTTACTAGAAAAAAAATTTAACATTAAAACTTGTTAACATTTTCATGTGTTCTTCATCAAGCTTTACCAAACTGAATATTGAATTATAAAGAATCATATGAAATTCATTCAAAAACATTTGAATACAATATTTTCACAAGTCTATGAATCTTATTAATTCTGGGATTCCATTCTAACTAGTAATTAAGGCAAACTTTAAAAATAAAAAACAATCTTTTACAAAAGAAAGTTTGATTACAAGGATGAATAGTTTTGTTGTATATTGTCCAATTTTCTAATTGTGTTTGTTATACAGTATCTGTTTCAAAATTAAAATTAAGCTCTTCTTAGAATAAATAATCAACAGTTTAAATTCTATTAGGTTGTTCGGAAAGTAAGTTCATTTTACCACTAGACGGATTAGTCATATTTTTCCCGCCATTTTCATTCTAAACCATATTATCATTATATATTTTGACAGCTAGCATTTTTAAGGCTTATTTGTAAAAAATTTTGTTTGATTTCGTGCAAGTGTTTATTTTTTTGTGTCCCATCAAATATGGAAGATCGAAAGCATCATTTTTGGCATATTTTGCTTTTTTATTACCAAAAAATCAAAATGCTGTTAAAGTGAGAAAAAAATTGTGGTACATGTATGGCGATGATGTGTTGAGAGAAAGACAGTGCCAAAACTGGTTTACAAAATTTGTTTCTGGCAATTTCAATATTGAAGATGCACCACATTCTGGATAGCCAGTTAAAGCCAATGAAAACAAAATAAAGGCACTGATTGAAGCAAACTGCCGAATAACAACACGTGAAATCACTAAGAGATTAAATTTGTCAAATTGAACTGTTTATGATTACTTGAAACAAATTGATTTCGTTTCAAAGCTTGATATATGGGTTCCACATGTTCTTAAAGAGAGATGCTTCTTTGGTGGGATTTTAAGGAAATTTTTTTTTGGAGCTTTTACCAGACAATTTAACAATTAATTCAAAAGTGTACTGCCATCGAGTAAACAAATTGAGTAATATCATCAAACAGAAAAGGCGGCCAGAATTGATCAACAAAATAGGTGTAGTGTTTTACCACAATAATGTCAAATTTCACATAAGTTTGGTAACTTGTCAAAAACTGTTATAACTTAGATGGGACGTGCTATCACACCAACCATATTCGCCAGATCGAGCACACACAGATTATTACTTGTTCCAGTCTATACAAATATTTTTAACTTTAAGACATTTACTTGAAATGACGATGTCAAAAATCACTTGAATCAGTTTTTTGTAAGCAACGATCAAAACTTTTATGAATGTGAAATCATGCTACTACCAGAAATGATGACAACAGGTATTTGATCAAAATGGTCAATATATAATTCAATAAAATATTTATTTATTATAAAAATATTGCGTTTTTCCACGGAAAAAGAAAATGAAATTACTTTCCGAACAATCTAATATTTCAATCTGAAATAAATTTCCTCTCAAATGAGGCTTTTCATTCTTGCAACTAAACTTTTCTCTTTAAAAATAAATAACAATTTTTTTAGAAATTTGTATTAATTGTTACTTTAAAATGAAATTCTGGAGACAAAGTTTGGACTTTTGATGTTTTTGGTCATGTAGGGGATTGGCAATTCTGGGGTTCTTTGTATTATTCAAAACTAGAATTTTACCATAAATGTTAGGTTCTAATAAAGCCAATTGAAATAACTTATTTGCAAAACTATTTTTATTTTTCTTATATTATGATTGCTTTTAGGAAATAGTTTAGTGAAGTAAAAACATAATTGACATTTAATGAGTTTGTAAATTAGACCTAATAACACACTGATATACAAATTACAGTTAATACATGTAATTTCAGACAACAAAGTGAAATATGTTAAAAACTAGTAAACTTTAATATCTTGAATATGTACAGTACATTTAATTGTATATCAAATTTATATTTATATAAATATCTTTCAATTCCTCCACTTTCCATTGAAGATTATTTCTCATTTTTCAAATTAAGATAAACTAATGTGAATAGAGTAAACATTATTGTGAGAGAATTATATTATTGACTACATTTTGACAGAAAGTTTTTCTTCATCTATAACCTATTTCCTGATCAGTTTTGGCAGAAGTTTCAGAAAATATTTCACATTTTCTGTTTCCAGTTGCATTTATGCTATCTTTTGCATTTGTGTGTTTGTGGTCTACATTTAATTTGATTTAAAACATTGGAAGATTGCTATGATTTCCTGATTCATGGACACATTTTAAAAAGAATATATTACTGAAAATATATAGTATAAAGAATACAGAAGAAATGTGAATGACAGCAATTCCATCAGTGTGTTAGCAGTAAAAGAAAATTTTGGGAAACAAATTTTTGATGTTAATTATGATTAAGATAAATACAGAGAGAGCATGAAAGCATTGAGCTTAAATTTGAACAATTAAACAACCCAAAAAAGGAACTTAAAAGCCTACATTTTCAATGAGAGAAAACAAAAAAGTTTCACTCACTTACTTTGCTTGTGCTTGGAATACATGCTTTCCTCTGATTTTTATTTTGTTGTTTATGTAACTACCTGTTAAAACTTATTAAAGAATAATTGAAAATGTTAGCAAGTTTTAACATTAAATGTTTTTATCAGGGTAAGATTGGTTCAAATGCTCTATACATGTCCAGAAAATAAGCACAACCATTAGTTTGGCCTATATCTCAGGAACTACTGATCAAAAGAGCATGAAACTTAATATACAAGCAGACATTGTATTCTTTATGCAACAAAACAACTTAAAAGCAAAAATTTAATCTAAATTACATCAAACAAAAAAGAAAGAAATGTTACATTAAAGTTCAAATCATAACCACCGATTTCTGGTCTGTCAAAAAGACACCTTACGACTCCTTGAACACAAATTAAGTCTATTTATTTAACACTATTTACAGAGATACACAGCAATACATCTTGATTACTTCAAACTATGAGGTCTTAGTCCAGACCCTTCTGCTTACACAGTCTCAGGCTAGACTCCCTTTCCTCAATCCAATGTTTCCTTATATCTAAGTTTTGAATCTGTTGGCCTACCAATCCGGAGCTGAGCTAAGCTTTCTGTCGGGTCTTGACTCGTCCAGGATGACTTGCTAACTGTCCCTTTCCAGACCACGTGCTCCAACAAGTGAAAACTTGCCTTAGCTTGTCACTACACGATACCTCCTTGACAATTACTAAGCATTTTTTATGTTTTCTTAAAATACTTTAGATGAAATAGTTCTATCTTTGAAACACTTATTTTTTTTAATCTTTTTAAAAAGTATTTTATGGCTGACATTTTATGAACATTGAAAATGATGTATTTGTAATAAAACAGTTTTTGATGAAGTCAGAGTTAAAATTTTATGAAAGTACTAATTTATTCAAATAAATAATTTGTATAACATTGATTGATTAAAGTTTTTTAGTCAGTTTCTAGTGATTTCCAAGTTGGTTATAGCTAGTTAATCAACAAGCTAAATATTTATTCTGACCAGTTAAATAATAAAATAATTTATCATTATTATTAAAGATAACAGTACAATGTTATTGAATATTATAGTAAGAGTTGTTTTGTTTTTGTTTTTTTTTTTTTTGTCATTAATGTAAGTTTGCAAAAAAATTTGTAATAGTAGTCAACTAATATTGTAGATTGACCACTAAAAGTTTTTCCTGTTAAAAACAGTTTTATTTTTATTATTTTAAGAATAATAATCTTCAGTCATCTTTCACAGATGATATAATAATTAATTTGATTTTTTTATAGTATTACCACTATGATTGTCTGATTTGAATCTCTAACATTTGATTTTTGATGCCACCTTAAAAATACTTTTTGCTATGATAAAATTGATATATAAGACTGACATAACTAAAAATCGTTATAACATAACAACAGAAATATCTTCTGTGGAATATGTGGTATACTAGAACACATTACTTTGTTATTACAATCAATTGCAGGTAAGATGAGAGGGAGTTTTATGAAAAATCATTCAAAATAATTTATAATATAAATTATTACTTCAAAAATTTATTTAAACATTTTACTAAATCTGATTGGATGGATTTTTTTTCTGTAATTTCTGATTTTCTTTTAATATTCAAAGAATCTCTTATCACAATGAAATAAAATAATGAAAAAATTTCTTGCTTCATTAAACAACGAATATTATGCTGTATTTTGTATTATTAATGAATTATGATTCTAGTATTGATATAATTTTAGTATCTAGTATGTATCACATAGGTAATATGTTCTCATTTGGCAGTAATTTACATATACCATATTTGCATGCATATAAGACTGCCATTTTTCGGGAGTAATTTTTAGGAAAAAAATTATTTTATTGAAAGAAATTTATACATTGTGAAAAGTAATTGTTTTCAATCAATATATATATATGTTATAAATTAGAGAATTTTTGTATAAAACTATTATAATTCAAGGGGGAAAAAATAAGATTACAATAACAGTTTTGTGCATGCAATTTTAAATGAAACCATATGCATTAAAGGTTCCATTTCACTATATAGAACAAGTATGTTGTCTTCTTTAATTAGTTATATTTATATATA